TTGGATCCCGCTCAAAATAGATGCCTCATGAGACACCCTCAGCCTTATAGGCTAGATGCATGGCTCCAAAACCATCCCTTTACCATGCCCCATGCCTTGCAGACGGTATTGACGTTGTCTCTCCTGGACCTTGCTATAGCTTGGCCCCTTGTCCTCACTGGGCTCTCCGCAGGCCTGTCTCTGTGCCCCACACTGGCGCTGGACTCTGCTCACCCCCTTATCACTGCACCCTTCTCTGACACTGGGGTTCCCCCACCATAGTGGGTCCCCAATGAGGCCTCCTTCCCCAATAGCCTCAACCCAATCCACCAGCCAAACAGTAACTAAAATCTGAGCCTCTGGGCTATAACATAATATAAGCAAGTGCTCTGTCCCTTTAAAACATCAAACTTCTTCCAGCACTATGTACTTATAGGCCAGGGTCTCCAGTGAGCTCCCGGAGCCCCTTAATCCTACCCGGGGTAGAACAAGCAGCCAAGCTTCTCTGGTGAGCTTCTCTAAGAGTTCCTTCCCCCCTGGCTGCTGATAGAACTAAACCTCTACTCCCAGCCCTGGGGTTTATATTTGCCCAGGGTCCTGCCTCTTCCAGTCAGCTGACCGGGTGCAGGTACAGGCTAATTTACTTGTTAACCTATCGCCATAGTAATCTGCACTTGTGGACTTCTATCTAGCTCATAGGGCCCTTTCCCTAGGCAGTTTCTGCTCTTACAGAAGCAGGCACCTTAGTGCCCTGTGACACCTGTACATACAGGTACTACAAAACAGTGCAATAACTAATGCCCCATACTGCAAGTGTAGACACTGACTGGGAGCAAAGATAAGCACATTAAAACTTTTTCTCATCTAGTAAGAAAAGAAAGCTAGATTTAAAAAAAAACCTGAAATGCTTTGTAGAGACTTACTAAGTTTCATCAAAGGCTTGCTGACATCCAGGGTAGACTCAGTCTGACCACCTGCCCAATCTAGACTTATTCCCACGATGACGACAGATCTTCAAATGAATTAACTGTTTTTTAGTTTTTTACACGTGACACTGATCTTTTACAGACTTCATGGACAGGTGTTTTTAGCCTGTTTTTTTTATGGACTCTCTGTAAATTTACAGGCAGTTAACAACCTAGAGAAAGCTGAAGACAGGCAGAGCAGAAGGGAAAGAATTCAGGGAGCATGACAAAAAATGGAGGGATTAGAATAAGGGGAAGAGCAAAGGGAGAGAAGCACAAGGAAGGAGGAGAAGAGAAGATGCTGGGGTGGGGAGATACAGGAGCAGAGCAGATGCAGGAGCAAATCATTCCAGCGTTCCCTACATTAGGGGTGCTTGACTTAGCAACCTTTAGGTTCTGTTAATTAATTTTTTTAAGATGCAATGCATTCTTAATTTGTCTGCACCTTTTATTTTGTATTTTACCTTCAGATAAATCATTATATAATTCCACAGACAGAACACATTAAGAAATACTATGAGCTAAAACCAAGTTCAGAATCCAATTATATCTATCCCAAATTAGTTTCCTACCATATTCATATCTTATGCTTAGTTTTATGGCAAATATATTTAATTATAAATCTATTGCTACTCCTGACATAAAGAAGGAGTTACACAAAAGCTGCCGCTATGAAGAGGCATGTTTGCTTTTTCCTTATTAACTTTACCCCCACATGATGGGATTTATTATTATTCATTGTTATTATTCAGCTAGCACATATGACTGTTCTCATTATTCCACTGAGCACTATAAAACCTTACTTACACCTCAAAACTTACTCTTAACAATCTCAATCCTGTTCAACTCCATTTTTTATATAGTACCTATTTTAATTGCTTTTCTCTGAACCTTTTTCAGCCCCTCAGTAATCTTGCTGCCTCAGGGAACACGTAGATGGGTATAACATATAAATGCTAAGATTCTTGTGACGTGGCCAGTTCTCTGGTGGGAGGCAGGGCAGGGCACGGCAGTACCATGTAGAGGCTAACTGGTTCAGAGACATGAGCTTTTGTAGGCAACAGCCCACTTTGTCAGATGCTGTGAAAGGACTATGCCTATTATGTAGTAAAACTGAAGAGCGCTAGGCGTGCATCCAAACTCCTGAACTTTTCCTGGGGCCATCCAGGCGCCATGCAGGTCCCCAGTGTATATCAGAGCAGTTGGATATCTGCTATAATTTAGATTAGCTGCCAGTGGCCTCCATGGAGCTGCTAGTGAAATAGCAGTCCTGGCCTGGCCACATCCCTTTTCCCTGATATATCCCCAATGGAAATGACTGAAAGGAAGGATGGTGCAGGGGAGTTACTGATGTTGCTCAAGGCAATCTGTGGATGCCTCTAAGTTAAAGGGAACTTTGCAGTAGCCAGTTAAAACAGCTCCTGTTGGCTTTGTGCTGGTATTTCCTGACCTCACTTCCAGTTCTTCACACATCTGGTTGCCCTTCTTAACCATACTGACACATTTTGACTGTAGTTCTATTCATTCTCCATCTCAGATATTTTCCTGCGCTGTGTTCCTGAGGTTGGGCCAGTTTGAGGTTGATTTGCCCCGATATTTGGCAATTACAAAGTGTTGTACGGGGTACACTATTATGTTTACTTTTCTCAGGAAGGGAAAGCTTCTTCCAGAAGCAGTTTATATGCTAAAAAGAGACAGTCCCAAATTTTAAAATCTCCTTCCCCAAATTCATAGGTGCCAACTTTGTTTATTGCCAGTGGGTGCTTGCAGATGTAAAAAAAGAAAAACCCTGGTGTTAAGTGGTGCCGAGCCCTACACATGCCCAGAAGAGGGAGCGCAATTACTTCAGCCTGGTTCTGCAGCGTCTATAAAGATCAGATGCTTTACTGAGGCTTTTTTGGCACTTTTATCTAATAGCTAATTGAATCAGCTTTAGCTAAAAGCGCCAAAAAGTCCCACTTAAATACTTGATCTTTACAGACACTGCAGAGTCGGATTGAAGTAACCGCTTCTTCCAATAAAGTGCACGGTTTTATTTTTTAAACGTCTGAAAGCATGACTCTGTGGGTGCTGAGCACCTGCTAATTTTTTTTGGTGGGTGCTTGAGCCCTGGAGCACCCACAGAGTTGGCGCCTATGCTCATATTCCAGGTGTCTTTGAATCCAGGGTTTTACTTTGAATCCAGGCTTTTACTTTGGACCGTCTCTGGTGTTGAACTAAATACAATATTTAGCAAAGTAGATTTCTTCTAAACATTGTTTGATTCATTAGGGTTTTACTTAATGATCTTCAATATAGCAAACCTATCACAACAAAACAATGCACTTTTAAAAACCATAGAAAGCCAAGCTGTTAAGAATAACTATAACTATGATTCAGTAATAATTAGAGCATAGGCTGCAATGCCATATGTGGACAAGATACTAGACTGGAGACTTGGAAATCCAGTTTGGCTGGCTGAATCAATTTAGGCAAATCCTTTTTAATTTGCTCAACCTCTCTTTTTGCAGTAGCATAGCCATTCGACATAGCTGTCTGCCTGTCCATTGTTGGGGGTTTCCATTCTTCAGCTGGGCTATGTTGAACTGGAAGCTTGCACGGCATAAATAAAGGTACAGGAAGCACATTCTTGTAAGGCAGTTGGTATTGCCGCATCTTTTCTCCAAGTCTGCCCATCTGTATGTTCAGATAAGGGGATCTCTGCACCAGAAAGATATCTTGCTGTTGCTTCTCATATTGCTCATGGTGGATACTGTTACGTTCCAACAGAGCTGTCCTGGAAGAGACATTGAAAACAGCAGCTAAACAGATTTTCACAGCTTGGCCTTTTGGGTGAAGGCTGGTACCCCAAACCTTTATATCTGTTCAAAGCTATTGTTTTACACCATGAAAGGGAAAGGCAGGCCAGAGCTTCGAAAGTTTTTAGACTGACACATTTTGCATGATCTCTCACTTTAGGTAGCTCTGTAACCTGTCAGTGGGAACAGATTTGGGGCCAGGTTTTGACAAGAACTCAGCTCTCATTTAAGATCCTTCATGTAGCTGCCTGAAGGAAAACTAAAATCTTTTGAAAATCTGGCCATTTAAACAGCTGGTTACAAAGGACCTGTTGGGTAGTGAGGACAGGAGAAATTGTGGTTGCTGCATGCTAATACAATGGCTGAGTTAAGCAAAGCTTCTGAGTGCGTTTCAGTCACAGAAAGGAACTGAAAGCTGTTTTTAGAAATAATTTCTTTCCCTTTTGTACAAAACCTAAGTATATTTATGATTAGTAGCCCCCTCCAAGTCTGTATATCTAAAGACCTGGACAGACAATATGTTTATACCAGAAGGCCAATTACATTGGTTAAAAGCATAGCAAAAAGACAATTTAAGGGTCTAAACCTGGATAACTTCACCAAACTGGTGCCAAAATAGGTGCAAAACTGGTGCTAATTCCCTGAAAAAATTAGGGGTAAAACTGCACTGGCATAAGTTGCATCTGTTTATGTTTCATCTGTCCACTTCTATACTAGAGTAGCCATTTGATAATGGCAAATAGTCTATTACCTGTTACCCCACTGCTCAGCAGAAGGGTGCATTAATAGCTACCTAATACATGCAGGTACACTGGGATAAGCACACATGAATCTTTCCTGAACCTGATGTAATTTACAACAGTCTGTGTACACTAGGGGTATTTGCATTGTCTTTCTGTGCCCTTTGTTAGATACTGTGTATTCTTCCAAATGTATTTTCAGTGGTCTACCCATTTGTTCCAAAGTTTAGTTGTAGTTTTCTGCTTGCCCTTGTTCAGAATCTAGCCATCTTCTCTCCTGACTCGAATAATTATAGAATCATAGATTTCATAGATTTCATAGACATCAGGGCTGGAAGGGACCTTGGAAGATCATCGAGTCCAGCCCCCCGCCCAAAGGGCAGGAAGTCAGCTGGGGTCATAGGATCCCAGCAAGATAAGCATCCAGTTTCATCTTGAAGGTGTTCAATGAAGGCGCTTGAACCACCTCCGGTGGCAGGCTGTTCCAGACCTTGGGGGCTCGGACAGTAAAGAAGTTCTTCCTTATGTCCAGCCTGAAACGATCTTGAAGTAGTTTGTGACCATTCGACCTCGTCATCCCTTGGGGCGCTCTGGTGAACAAACGTTCCCCCAGATGCTGGTGGTCACCCCTGATAAACTTGTAGGTGGCCATCAGATCACCCCTGAGCCTGCGATTTTTCAGGCTAAAGAGCCCCAGGGCTCTCAGCCTGTCATCGTACGGTCTGCTTCCCTGACCTCTGATCATGCGCGTGGCTCTTCTCTGGACTCTCTCAAGCTTCTCCACATCCTTTTTGAATTGTGGAGCCCAAAACTGGACGCAGTACTTCAGCTGCGGCCTCACTAAGGCCGAGTACAGGGGGAGAATGACATCCCGGGATTTGCTTGAGAAGCATCTATGGATGCAAGCCAGCGTTTTGGTCGCTTTACTAGCTGCAGCATCGCACTGCAGGCTCATGTTCATCTTGTGGTCAATGATGACCCCCAAGTCTCTTTCTTCCATAGTGCTAG